TGAGGGGAGGGTGTAGCTCAGTGGTAGAGTGTGTGCCTAGCATGCACAAGGTCCTGGGTTCAATCCCCAGTACCTCAGTTAAAAATACTCTCTCTCCCCTCAAAATAAATAAAAAATAAAAATTAAATATATATATATACATCGATAATGAAACTAAAGGCAAATGGACTGAACACCCTACCGAATGACAGGATACAATTCAAGAACCACCCAAGAATACACAGGGAACTACATTCAATATCTTGTAGTAACCCTATAATGAAAATGAATATATGTGTGTATGTGTATGAGTGAAAACATTATGTTGTACAGCAGAAGTTGTATACTGACTATACTTCAGTAAAAAGATATGCAAAAAACCCCAAAAAACATTTTAAAAAAAGAACCAACTATATACTGTTAGAAGATATTTACTTTGAATAAAAGAAATAGATTGAAAGTTGAAGACTGGATAAAGATCTACTACGAAAATTTGAAACAGGAGTGGCTTCATTAATATCACACAAAATAGACTTAAAGACAAGGAATATTACTACAAAAAAGAACCCTTTTTTATATCAAATAGTATAAGTTTACTGTTTTGCCATGCAAGTCTTTTTCTTGTGAAATCAAATTTATCAATTTTTTCCTTACTGAGTGTGGATTTTGACTTTTTCCCACTGAACCTGTATCAGCCTATTCGGATAGATGCACTCATATTCTCCTCTAGTGCATAACAAGTGTTCACTTTTTAAAATACGTACATCTTTGATCCATTTTCACCAGCATCCAAAAAGCAGAACAGCCATTAGAAACTTTTGCCTCGAAATATAGCAAAGGTGTTGATACAGTGCAACTGAATTACGCTGACATTTGATAGTTAAGAATGACTGTATTTTCAGTGGTGTGTCCTTGTGCATTTAATTCATAAATATCAGCATGCACTTTTTGGATATGAAAGCAAAACTCTTCAAATATGTTCTCTGCTCACATCAAAGGGGTGGAAAAATTCACAAGCACGAAGGAGCTCAGGTTTCTTACAGCCTTCTCGTTGGGCTCCTTTAAAGTCAGCAGGAGGCTGCTGGGTCACGGCTGGGGAACGGATCACTTCTGGAAAAGGCAGAGCTGTGGTTTTGATTTCCCAGCATGACTGTAGTCATTGTGTCCTGCTTTGTTATTAGTAGCTTTCAGAGTGTCTCTCATAACCGTCCAAAGGGTGATGTGTGCCCTCTGCTAAGCCCAGCCCTAAAGCCTGAAGACGGGTCAGGTTATACAGCAGCAAGGATCCAGGCAGACACCCGTGGGGGGCCAGGAGCCTCCACGCGGGCACTCTCCATTCTCAGGGGTCTCCATGTCTGGCTTTTCACAACTACGATTTATGCGTGGCATTAGTGAGATCCTGGTTAAGGTTCTCATTTTTGGAGAACTCACACAGCTCCTATTTCTGTCTTTTTAGAGAACATACTTCAGGATTAGGATACACATAACTACATTTTGTCTTCAGTCTTTTCTGGCTCTTAGATCAAGGTTTACTACTATGCTATTTCTTGTGAAAACCATGTTGATTTGGATAGCCGTAATTATTACCAAATAATAATTATGAATAGACTGCTGAAGTCTATATGTAATGTATCTACAAATAATGACGTCTGTGTAAATCATTACGCACATCGCAGTTCCTAGGATTAGCGAACGTGGGAGCACGTGAGGACCTTGCAGTCAAAGGCACTGATTCCAATGGTTCTAATGCATCACAGGAGCAAGCTTGTGGGGAGAGTGATGCTCTTGGAATATTCTGCAGTTACACAGAGCTTCCGCAGACCTGCCAGCAGATATGTGCTCTAGCACTTGAACTGGAATCTGCGTTTCCTCAACTCTGAGAGTTGGGTGTCCCATGGGGTGTGTGGAAAGGATCCAGAAATCGAAGTCTTCTGGCTAAGGCCAGACTCCTGTTGTGGTTTCTTTGAGGCGAAATGCTCAGGCAGGGACCAGCCACTTAGATTGTCAGCCTCGACTTCTGTGTGTAGAAGATCATGATAGAAGCAATCTGTCTACCTTAACTGGTGCCTTTGGAGCTCAGACGGATAATTTATGCACGACAGGCAAATTGGTCTCTTGGTTGTGGGAGGACTCGAGCCACACTCTTCGGGTTCAAATCCCGGCTCTCTACTTAGCTGCTGTGCCGTTTGGGCAAGTTACTCAAACCTCTCTGTGTCTTAGTTCCCTCATCTATAAATTAAAGATGGCAATGAGTGCTACTTCACAGGGTGACAGGAATTAGTTGGTAAAAATCACTTAGGATAAAGTCTGGCAAGTACTATGCATTGTTATTACAAATAAAGAAATTTTTTAGAAATGTTCTGGAACTGCAGAATACATGATTAACATGTATTGTGCCCCTACAAAGGATCAGGCACTTCCCAGGCAATTTATGTATATTTCTTTATTCAATTCTCCCAGAATCCCTGTTAGATGGTATCTTGGGGAGAAGAGAGACCCTGGGAGTTTATGAATTAAGTTATTTCCTCCAAATACTCCTGACAGTAAACACAGAGCCAGTGTGTGAAGCCCATGCCCAAACCCTTTACACTGGTCCATGACTGTCGCCAAAAGCGACCGCTTCTGTCTAGTCCTCACCTCGCTAGGCCAGCCCCTCTTGGAACCAGAAGCATCCTCCCCTTTGTCCTGGGGGTCAAGTCCCAACTGCCCAGAGGACTCAGCCCCTCCTTATCGCTTGCAGCCCCTAAGCGTGGCCGCAGCCACGCCGCTCTCCCATGCCCCTGACACACGCCATCTCCTCTCTTGCCTCCCAGTCTTTGTACTTTCCTGCTGCGTGGAATACTTTTAATATTCTTGTTCGGCTTTTTACTTAAAATTATAGGTCACCTTGACACATAGGCAAAAGGCCTGGAAAACAATCTCAAGGACCTAAATTTATTTTGTTTGTTAGTGGCCTGTGCTGAAAATCGTCTCTCTCTGCAAGAGGAAATAGACGAGGACACAGAATATTTCTCACTTAGTGGGCTAAACACAGAAGGCTGTTTATCTGACGAAATCAGGCTGAGGCCATGGACCTAAGTAAGAATAAACTTGACTCTCCTTTGTTCTTTACCATTAATTAGAGATTCTTTTCTGTTTTCCTTGACATTCAGATACGGAAGAAACGACTCGCTGAAATGTCAGATTATTTTACTACAGAGCCTGTTTTAATTTCTTAGGAATATGACCTTTCAAGCAAAGGCTTATGTCAACTCTGAAGTTGGTAAAACACGTTTTAGAAAAGCAGTATGAAATCATTAAAATGTTTATTGCAGGAGAGCAGTGGTTCATAAAAGATGCCTGTGATTATTGGATGAATTGGGAGTAAACACACTCGCCTTTTATCTTTTCTCCCTTTGTTCCTCTGAAAATATGACTACAACCTGGGAACTCTAGGAAAAATGCACCCATCCCCAACTACCTGTATTTAAAACGCCTCTACACTGTTGGTGGGGATGTAGTTTGGTGCAGCCACTATGGAAAACAGTAGGTAGGTTCATAAGAAAAAAAATTGAAAATAGAGTTACCCTATGATCCAGCAATCCCACTCCTGGGCATATATCTGGAGGAAACTCAAATTTGAAAAAATACACGCACTGCAATGTTCATAGCAGCACTATTTACAATAGCCAAGACATGGAAACAACCTAAATGTCCATTGACAGATGATTGGATAAAGAAGTTGTGGGGTGGTGTGTGTGTGTGTGTGTGTGTGTGTGTGTGGCACACTACTCAGCCAGAAAAAAGAATAAAATAATGCCATTTGCAATAACATGGATGGACCTAGAGATCATCATTCTAAGTGAAGTAAGCCAGAAAGAGAAAGAAAAATACCATATGATACCACTCATATGTGGAATCTAAGAAAAAATGACACAAATGAACTTATTTATAAAACAGAAACAGACTCACAGATTAGAAAACAAACTTATGGTTACCAGAGGGGAATGGGTTGGGGAGGGATAAATTGGGAGTTTGGGATTTGGAGATACTAACTGCCGTATATAAAATAGATAAATAGCAAGGTCCTACTATACAGCACAGGGAACTATATTCAATACTGTGTAGTACCCTATAAAGAAAAGAATGTGCAAAGGAATATATCTGTATGACTGAATCACTGTGCTGTACACCAGAGACTGACATGACATTGTATATCAACTATACTTCAATAAAAAACAAAATAAAATAAAATGCCCCTGGAAGTTTCTGGTGCAAATATACCCAAAAGATATCTTTCTTCCATCCCCTAAATTCTCTCAATCTGTGCTGGGGACAATCTTCTGATGCTTCCAACTGTCACTCCCAGAATCTGAGGCTCTATCTGTGCTGATGTGCTGGTGTGGACAGAAGGGGCTTCCTCCCGGAGGACGCAGCCGCCGTGCGCTGGGTGACAAGCGCTCATTCAAGCAAGCGCTTCCGAGCACCGCCCAGTGCCAGGCAGCGCTCTGACCAGGGCTTCATGCTTTGCGAACCACACGCGCTCTCTGCCACCTGTTCTTCTTCGGTTTTTGTTTGTTTGTTTGGCTTTGCTTCCAACCCTCTAGAAACTTAACAACCATTCCTAGCTTGGGGCTGTACAGAAACAGGCAGCGGACTGGGTTTGGCTCCTGGTGGTGTTTCAAGGTGATCCTGTGATGAAAAACCCAAACACAGCCCTGCCCTCAAAGAGTGATGAGAAGTGCGCTGAGTCATCTACGAGAGGAAGTAAGGGGGTTGTGAAAACAAAGACCCAAAGGCCAAGCCCAGAGCGGGCTTCCCGGAGGAGGTGCACCGCCTAGGCGGGGTGAGTACGGGTGGCGAGGACGACCGCAGCGGGCACCCCGGGAGGAAGACAGGCCGGGAAAGGCTGAATGTGCCAAGTCAGCGGGCCAGAGAGAAAGCCGGAGGGAGTAAGGCCCTGTACGGCTGCTCCCAATAGACTGGCGGGGAGGGGGGGCAGAGTCAGAGGAAGGCAGAGCCTTGTAGGGGGCTCAGAACTTTGGGCTTAAAGGGAAGAAGGAGCTGTGAAGGGTGTTAAGCCAGGATGTCAGGAGCCATTGGCCTGAGGCTGCAGAGGTGGGTTCATGGAGGGAGGGACAGGCGCAGATGCCTGTCCAGAGGGAGGAGGCAGGGAGGGGGGCAGGAGAGGGAGGTTGGAACTTGCACCTCTCCACTGACCTTGATGCTTGCCAGCCCCTCTTAGGCAAATTAGAGGCCAGACAGAATGACTCGGAGGTGGACCCAGGCTGTCTCCTCTAGGAGAAGTGCTTGCAGAGTGGCAAGAGGAATTTGGGATCAGTCTGGCTCTGACCCTTCCCCCCACCTCTGGGATCTTCCAGAGATGAATTAAGACCTCATGCTTGCCTATCAACTTCGTGCTGGGAAGCGAGGCTCTGCTAACAGACAAGCATCCCCGCCCTTGCCCTGTGCTTGCTGGTAAGAGTCCCCCAGTGCGCCCAAGTCCCGGGTCTCGGGAGTCAGAAGAGTAACCAGTCTACGTTGTCCACAGAGGGTTGGCAGTGCGGTTAGGGAGACAGGTAGGCAATGTAGGGCCAGCACAAGAAAGAGTAAAATGAGGTTAATCATTGGTGTTAGGAAGGAGGTTACGTGGAAGAGGTGGGATGATGGTTTTACGGGAAGGCAGCTTCCCAGAGGCCCCGGTGCTCGACGCTGGAAAGGGTTCTTGGCGCCTCTACTGATGGGACGTGAGGTCTGGGCAGAGTTGCACAGTGTTCTGGACATGCTTAGTATTTCCAGAGGTGAATGAAGTGACTCTGTTTTGGGAAGCCAACCTCGGTCAAAGTCGGAATCGTGCTTTGGGAAGAGGAGCAAAAAGCGGGGCAGAGAACCCACCTGATTTCAGCTGGTATCTTATTCATCTTGACGAACGTGGCTGCCTGTCCATCGGTTTGTGCCTGGAAAGCAAGGCCACCGTGTGAATGAATCTTCCTTCTCTTGTGCTGTTTCACGCCGGCACAGCCTCTGTCCTGAGCGCTGGAGAGAGTCACCAACATGCCCGAGTCAGAGAGACAAGAGCTATTTGAGGATAATGACTCACATTCATTATTAAGTGATAGTAACGATTCAAGCGAGACTAATGACAAATTTTCCTTTCCCTCGAAGAAGGAACTTTGTGCTAAACCGGTTTTTGATGATGCTTGAAAGATGCTAAGAGGTCATTAAAGCACTTCTGCCAGTTTTGTGTTTCTATTGTATAAAACTTTAAAGATTCAGGTAGATTTACAGTAGATAAAAACGTGTAGACTTTAAGGTCTTACATCAGTTATACGTGTATTGATGAAATGCACAGAAACGTAGCATATGATTCAGCTGAACGTTTGATTTTGCTTTTTACAAAGCTGTTTTCTCCAGAATGGTGGGGTCATCAGTATGATGCTGAATTGGGGCACAGGAGGACAAACTCAATACCATTTCACATTCTATACTCATTAGAGGACCATTTGCGACCTTCGTAGAAAAACTCATACTCTAAATAGAAAGCAAATGTGATGGCCATTCAGGGCAGCCAGATAAAGTGGACCCTCTTGTAATTTCACCCTGTAGTTCTTGCAGGTGACGGAGGGCGGAGGGAGGTTCTTACAGGAAGCACTGTTTAAAGTTCCATTGTTAGGACGAAATACTCCTATTTGTAAACCTCAGTGAAGTTGAAATAGTGAGTCTCTGACCAACAGAGTCTTCAGCTGGGGAGAGAGATGGAGAGACATTCTGAAACAAGCTTTTTGGAGGCATGTCTGATGGAGGAAAGTTGTGTTGGTGGGAAGAGAGAAGCGAACTTCAACCTGAACTCTGTCCTATCACCAGCACATGACGCCATCATCAGACTGGTCATCTGGTATCTGCACCACTGCTTAGACAAGCAAAAAGATCGGGAAGGCTGGTTTCCAGCCAGTGTAGCTAAATAGAGCTATCCTAAATATTTCATATAAAATTCAGTTTAAAGAGGTTTTTGTAGTTATAGACCTTTTTCTTTCTACTGTTGATCAACTTATCTGTACATTAAAAAGGAGGCTATTCAGAGATACAGCTTTAAAAATATTTTCATTTTTATTACATTTTTATCCCTTCCAATTTGAGAACAATAAAACTTGATCATATATGTAATTTGATCAGATTTTTGTAGAAGCTGTAAGTTCCATATCATGATTATTTTCAGTTAACTATCTGGAGCCTGTAGGGAGCATTTAGGAGAGGAATTTTGCCTATCAAATATCACCTTCAGAAGCTGTGTTGCACCATCAGCTCTGAATTACTTCTGCTGATATTCAATGCTTGAGGTTGGCTAAATCTTGGACACGGTAATGCCCCCTGCAGCCCAAGTGGTGAGATGTATCACTTGCAAAGAGAACGTGAGCAAGATTTATCTGGTGTCTGACAGTTAGTTCATCATTCATACAGAATTTGAGTGTCAGTCTCTGGACAGAATAAATACACCTGTGAACATTGCCTAGACCAGTTGAAATTGGAGTAAAATAAAAATGTTAATGACAGTGGTTGGAGACCCTCTTTTCCAGGAAGGCTGTCGTGTTGCTGGGAACAGGCTTCTGCGGTGGAAGCACCTCACTCTAGGCCTGGAATGAATAGACGGTCAGTACTAGGGGAGCCAAGGCGTTCGGCACCTGGATGGAGGTGGAGGAGATACAGCCAGAAGTCAGCGGAAACACAGGAACCCAGTTTCACAGCAAAATTCTAGCTCCATAAACTTTTTCCCTGGGAAGTTCTCCCGAGAGGTTACTCTGGATTCTTCTGTCCACATCAATGCCCTTGGACTTGATTTCCAGTGCTTTCCCATATCAGGTCCCTCCTCAACTGATGGAACCTCACTAACAGGGGTCACATGCTCACCCCCACATCCCGCCGACATCTACCTGCTGTTCCAAGACTCTTAGTCTTTGCTTGCCTGGTTTTTGCTACCAGAGGTGCCCGTTATTCAGCTCACATGGCGAATCTCAGCTCAGCCTTCCAGGGCTCCTGAGTTGGGGCTGCCTCGAGGTGAAGCCTTTGCCGGCCCACACGCTACTGTGGGGATGGCTACAGCCCCCTCTCCCAATTTCACGGGCCTCCTTGATTTACTTACTACTTTTTCTGACTCGCCTGCCAGCTGTTTTTCTGGAGTCCCAAGTGTATACCAAGCACTCAGTCAAAGTTTGCAGAGAAAATAAATACATAGACCTGTTCATAATTTTGATCAGCTTTATTCAAGCCCCTTAAATAGAACACTGATTCGGTCCCAAAGTAATTAATCTGTCTGATATTTTTCCCCTCTCGACTGTTTAAAAAATAACGTGACTTCAGCTTAATTAACCAGAAGCCGCTGTCTGTTGTTTTATGAGGCGAGTCTGAGTAGATTTAAAAGCAATTCATGGACACTGTGTTTACCTTCCTCGTCGCTTTCTCAGTGAACGCCCGGCATTCCTTCATGGTGGGTCTTACACATTTACGTCTGATAATTTACTTAAGAAATGAAAACATGCAAATGAGGCAAGTAGGTGCTTAAAGACGTGTGGGGTTCTGCTTATTCCTGAGTTGTATTATTGGTCAAGACAACATTCGACTGCTGACTTAGTGTGTTTCTGTGAGACAGGGATGGTAAGAGGACTGAGTGAACCTGGGCAAACCTAGGAGCCAGCCAGGTGACCTCCAGGCCAGGGTGAAGATAAAGGTCAGTGACCCTTTTATCCCTCCATCTTATAATAGCAAGCCTTGTTTCTGGGCAGTAAACTCCCATTTTCAATTACAAGTTGCAATTTTCATATGGGTGCTTAGTGCGGGGGCTAATATTTTTTGCCTGTGGTTTCCTGCCAGCTTCTCATATGGCAAGACGTAGATAAGGGATTTATGTTCTGGGGAAAAGAAGTCACATATTTTTTAGTGGAAAAGAAAAAAAATATATGAATAATCACTCCGTAGGGTGTGTTATGGTCTGAATGTGTCTCTCCCATTATTTATACGTTGAAATCCTAATGCCCAATACAATGGTAGTAAGAGGTGGGGCCTTTGGCAGGCGCTTAGGTCATGAAGGTAGAACCCTCAAGGAGTGGGACTGGTGTTCTTATAAGAGACCCCACAAAGCTCCCTTGCCCCTCCTGTCGTGGGAGGTTAACGAGAAAAGATGGCCTTCTCTTGAGAAGCGGGCCCTCCCCAGACACCAAGTCTGCTGGCACCCTGTTCTTAGACGTCAAGCTTCCGGACATGTGAGAAAGAATCCTCTGTTGTTCATAAGCTACCTTGTCTGTGGGATTTTGTTACGGCAGCTCCAATGGACTAAGACAGAGTATCAGGCGTCACAGAAAGCATGTGTGTGCGTGGGGTGGATGTAAACGTGGAAAGGGAACTAATTCCTTTTGTCTGAGACTCAAGGGAAGATCCTTAAGGCTTGTTAGGGAAGTGGTGGAGATGGGAAGAGAGAAGGACACTCTAGACCAAGGGACTGGCCCTGGCACACTTGGCGGGGAGGTGGGAGGAGTTACGGTGGATGCAAAGAGGAGAAGTGTAGGGCCAGATGGTAAAGGACCTGGTGATAAGGTCCAAGTGATGAGGAGCTTGACTTTATCTGACACTCATGGTATCTTAAGTTTGGTGGCACCGTGCGCAAAGGACTGGGGGCCAATGAAGTCAGGAGACTATTAGAATAGCCAAGACAGAGATGGTACAAACTTAAGCCAAAATTGTGGCAGGAGAGATGGAGAGAAAGCCTTTTAGTTAGGTGTTACCTAAGAATTAGGTTTGTTGAGAAAATAGTAGGATGTAGGGGAGGGAGTGGCCTGGTGTCTCGCAGGCCCATGGTGAGTCCAGGACTAGCAGCTGGCTTAGTAGTGAGGCACTGGGTTCTAGGCTGGCAATACTGAATTTGAAAGGCCGATGTGGCATCCTCGTAACAGCTGGAGATGTGGGTCTGGGATTGAAGGAAGAAAGTGAGACTGGAAATGCTTTAGGACTCCCCTGCCATCTGTGTGTCACTTGGGGCTACAAAGCAGGGATTTTTGTTTCTTGTGTTCATCACTTCGTGACCAGACACATAGTGGGCTTCCAATATATGTCAAGGATGGAGTAGGGAGGACTTCTAATTTCAGCACTGACATGTAAAGAGCTTGTAAGTCACTGCTCCCAACCTCACAGTGAGAAAAGGCTGAACCAACAGAAGACCAAAGACTTTTCTTGGAACCATCAGAGAGCTGAGGTCACAGGGCAAACTGCTATCCAAAATCTAGCAAGTCCCAGCCAAGATCTGCTTAGTTAGATCAGAAGCCACTGGAGAAATAAACTGTTAGATATACTTAAATGGGAATCTTGATGAATTGCTTGAGGCTAAACGTAGATTTGAGTGAGAGTGAAAAGCTCCCAGGGTCACAGTCTTAGTTTCTCCTGGACTTCCCCGACTTTGTCTCCAGGGATCCCACCAAGTTATCATGATGAGGAGCCAAGAAAGTCCCGTGATCATCTGGCTGGAGAAGGGAAAGGATAGCCATTGTGAATAGACCCAGAATGTTCTCCTTAACAGAAGCCTACTTTGCAGAGAAAATGAACTTTGCCAGAGCCTTACCTCCCTAGGGGAAAGAGAATTTCTCTGACTCTAGCACCCACTGGTATTCTTGTCTAAGAAAACAGAGGAAGTACTAAGAAACACCTGTGAAGGTCACAGCCCAAGGACACAGACACCCTCAGATACTGAGACAGAATCACAAAGTAACAGAATGTTTCTCCCCCACACACTTTGCCACCACACTAACAGGGGTGGATTATAACAACGGTGGATTAGAGCTGAAAGAACTACAAGATGCAGCTGTCTAAGGAAGAGGACTTCAGGAAGCCCAGAGCCAGCAGGGGAGACAAAAAACATGGACACCAGAGAAGCTTGAAAACTCTGGTGCCTACAGCAAATCTTAAATGCAGCCCACACTCTAGCCAGAGTAATATATGACTTCACAATAAAGGCCAATTCACCTGTTTCTATTACCCAATCCATCACGTTTGGCTTTCTGCAAAAAATTACCAGGCATGCTAAAAGGCAAGAAAAAAAACACAGTCCGAGGAGAAAAAGCAAGCATCAGAACAGGTCTCAAACATGACACAGATGTTGGAATTATCAACTAGGAGATTTAAAATAACTGATTAATATGTGAAGGACTTTAATGGAAGATATAGACAACATGCAAAAACAGTTGGGTAGTGGAAGCAAAGAGATGGAAACCAAGAGAGAATTCAAAGGAAATGCTATAAGTCAAAAATGCTACAACATAAATGGAGAATGTCTTTGATTGGCTCATCAGTAGACTGGCCAAGGAAGGAATCAGTAAACTTGAAGACAGATCAGTAGAAAATTTCCAAACTGAAATGTACAGAGATACAAAAATTAAAACAGAATAAAACAGAACTGTGGGGCAATTGCGAAATGCATAACACCCAGGTAACTGGAATAACAGAGGAGTAAAGAAATAGTTGAAGTAATAATGGCTGAAAATTTTCCAAAATTAATGACAGACACCAAACCACAGATTTGGGAAGCTCAGAGAATACCAAGTAGGATAATTACCAAAAAACTCTCCCACCCAGGCATATCTTATTCAAACTGCAAAAACAAAGAAAAAGATACTACTAAAAGACACCAACACAAAACAAATCACCATACAGTGATTATTGAAATATAGAGA